GTGAATGAATTTGCACCTCCTTCTCATGGYCACAGAGCTGGGGTCAGGGACAGTTGTGACCTGCCCAGACCACTGAGAGCCAGTGTGAGATATCTGCTAAAACACAGGAATGAGAAACTCACCCCTGTTGAAATTCCTGAACTTGGGAATGCTGGCCACTTCTTTGCTTGTACATGGGATGAGTCCACCAGAAAGCAAGACCAATGCAAGAGAAGGCAGAACCATGRTATAATGAAAAATCAATCCTCATCTAAACTTGTTCTGAGACGCCCCCAGACCAGAGCTTATTAGTAATCATAGTTCTTCCCACCTCCTTATATATTCACCAATAAGAAAATGATRGACATAAATAAATTTAGGAAAGAAAAGCAGGTCTCTTAGGGAGGTATCACTCAGGGAGGCTATATGTATCTTATCAGTTACCTTATGCCCAATTTATTTTATGTTTTGTTTAGTTTGCTCAGTTGCTCAAYGGATAAAGATCTTGAGTTGGCTAAGGTGTATGGGAATTTTAATGGGCATATTCACATAGCTTGACAATCTGTTTTTGCAAAAGTAGTAGTATGACCAGAAGGCMATATTGCTTTTACACTCTCTGAAGCTTTTCTTTCAAGGGATGGAGGCTCACCATGGATACCTAATTTCTCCCTGCCCATAGCAAGTGCCGCYTCTGTCCAGAAAAGCTTGTCATGATGACTGAAGAAAGAGGTAGAACAAMAAAAAAAAATGTTTTCTCCACTCTTCTCTTATTTACAAAGGGTTTCTGTATCTGGCCATCAAAACAAATCCTAAAATTCTGACAGTTGTTTTAAGTTACAGGAGATACAGACCTCCAAGTGATAGACAACTGCCCTTGGACCATGGAGAAAAAGATAAGAAACTTTGCATGGAAAATAGTTTTTAACCTAGAAGGCTTTCTTTCCCTTCTGGAAAAATGAAGACCCTTTTTATCATAGCTAAAAGTTTTCTAGTTTGAGGATTGGGAGATTCACATTGTCTTTGCTTCTGTGAAATGCAATCATGCAAAAAGTGCAGGCATGGTGTGCAGTGCTTAATATCTGGGCTTTGGAGGARGGCAAATAAAAAATCTGACTATTGTCTCTGCCATGTTTTAAATTATGTAACCTTACACAATTTGCTTAGCCTCTCTGAGCCTCAGTTTTTTTTTCATTTGCAAAATGATAATAATAATGGTACTACTTCATCAGGCTGTTGTGAGGATAAAAGGAAACGATGCTTATAAACAGCATAGTACAATTCCAAGGTCAAGAAAAAAAAAAGGTTGACATCTCTTTAAAATAAACATTTTATTTAAAAATATATGCTTTTTTTTCTTTTTAAAAAAAGAACACATGCCAACTTTGGTACTTTAGCCATTGCTTCTTTGCTCTTTCCAGTAATCCACATTTCTTTCTGAATACACCACCGCACAGGGGTTTGCAGACAACACATGCTTGCTCCTTTGTTCTTTACAAAGTGCCTCCTTGTATTTCATTGAGGGAGAATTTTAAGACCCAGCAATCGATTGCTGTAGTTCCTCACCACAAGACCATTGGAACTGAGCTCTGGGGAGCAGTGTGGGTCTTGTTCCTTTGGAAAACATTTAAATWGCTTCTAGGATCCCCATATCTATACCCACTTTCCAAAAATACCTGGGAACAGTTCAGTCGTCTATAGAAAACACATCTTCCCAGTATCCATGAAGGGAGCATGTGGTTAAAATAAACACAAGAGAATTCCAGGGGTTTGTTTGCCTTAATCCACAGGGATTATCACTGAATCCTATAACTAGAAGGGAACTTACTCACATATTGGAGCCAATGAATCTTAGCACAATATCCCTGGCTGATAACAACAAAAGTTTTTACAAACCCCTCCCTGGCTTTAAATTGCCACCCCCGCCCTCCAGACAGTCTCAGCCTAGCCAGGGCCATTGAATTACAACCTACCAACTCAGCGCTATAGGACTATCTTGTCCCAGCACCTGGACTCTGTTAATAACATCTAATAAAGCATCAGCAATATCCGAATCTGCCCCACTGGTTTACAATTCGATTTATGGGGAAACTAAGACCCTAGACTCTTTCTACTCCAAGTTGTCTCACTGTCTGCTGGTAAGCCATGCAAAATGAAAACCCTTTCATCCTAGCTGAAAGGTTTCTATTTTGAGGATTGGGAGATTCCCAGTGTCCTTGCTTATAGCAAAGGCAACTCCTTACTCATTCAACGTTTGAACAATCTGTGCTGAATCAATCCAGTATTGGATACCTCATGCTTTGCATACAAGTAGGCATTAAATAATTATCCAATGGATGAGTAAATTTGATGTGGGAGTTTTCAGCCAGACTGCTCTAGAAGATTGAAGTTATAATAAATATATTTTTTAAAAAGAACTATCTTGAATGCTTGGCTAGGTGTTATTCTTTTTTTTTTTTTTCTCAGATTGGAAATCACTGTTTTTGAATGGTGTAAGACTCTCACTTTACAGACCTTTGACAATTCAGGTGAAGGCTGTCTTGCTTTCCACCAGTACAKGTGCAATCACTGGGTTGTTAAAAATGGCTTATCATTTATGAGTTTGTGATGCAGTTCTCATAATGCAATATCTTAGCTGAACTAAGAGGTTCATGGATCAGTAAGTTGGGCCCTTTTTTTTCCTTTCCTCCTTCCCTTTTTTACTTCTCTCTTTCTTTTTTCCTTCTTTCCTCCATCCTTTCTCCTTCCTTCTTCCCTCTCCTGTTCATTCTCTTCTTTCTCCTCTTCCTCTCCCCCTCCATCTCTTTCCCTTGTGGATGTAGTCTCAGTATCATTTTAAAAGGCAGCATCATTCCTAAATGAGAATAGGCTTACTGAGAGAGCTTGCACAAATACATTTTCTGATTCCATTAGGTTAAGTATGAATCAAGTGGATTGTGACCAGATTGGGAATGGCTACAATGGTCTGCATCTCTGCATCACCATGGTAGGTCCAGGACTCTTAAATTCACATGGTCATCTTCACCTTTAAAATCATTAAGACACAAGAATGTGGTCACTTCTCTGTATACCTTTTTTTAGTCATGCCCAATTTGCCACCACAAAAGAGGACACACCCAAGAATTTAAAATAAAAATCCCCAATAAGAGACAGATGAATTAACATGAATTATCTGCAGTCATCTTCATCGCTTCCCACTCAAGCATCTCCAGTTTTCTCCTCCCAATTCCCTGACACAGGGTGCATATGGCATGTGCAGACTGTGGGAGGCGGTTAGACCAGTTATCTAGGGATCTGCTCTTTTAACTGTGTTAGTTTGTGGTAGCAAATAGGAGCCATTTTATCTTTTTGTCTACCGTAAATCTTGTATTTCAGTCTTGAGGAATATTCGAAAACACAACACAGTCTAGCCAAGTACAGAGGTCTCCTAATCAGATCTCATCCCTCAGCTAGAAATTCCCAAAGAAAAAGAACCATTAACACTCAGACCAGGTCTTCAAGTCGGGATACCACGTGAGTTTGTTTTCCAAAAGGAAAGAAAGGGGGAAAATAACATACAAAAGTGGACCGAGCAGCAAGCTTCATCAAGACTCAAATAAAACATCATCATCTGAGGAATAAACCAATGTGTGGAATGTGTCAATAAGGTCTCTTTCTCATAGCTTCATCTTCATCGGGATTTTTTTCCCTCTAGATTTTTTTTGTTGTTGTTGTTCTGATAACTGACATACAAGCAAACTAATAAAATTTACCATGCAGATCTTCTCAAGCACAATGCAGATCAAGGAATGTAAGATGATTTTCATGTTCTTTTTATGGACTCTTCTACAAAAGACTGTTACCATCCGCAGCTGCTGATGGCAAAGCCGTTCTGTCTTTTCACATCCATATTCGTTGGCAAGAGGAGCTTGTTCATGGTCAGCAAGTGGCTGTGAGTCACTGGGTTGGAGCCCTTAGTCATACACAGAGCGGCAACGTGTAGTCTGGTTAATTAACAGGAACACATAGTGAGAAAGGCCAGGTATCATTCACAGCAGATTGAGGGTTAAAGGCTTCTGGTATGGAACTCTGTAACACCGCTTTGAAGATACATGCACACACACACACACACACACACACACACGTGTATGCATATATATGTGTGTGCATGTGCACACACATATAACAGTCTCAGCCTACAAATGTATAGAGCAAGATGTGTGTGTTGTGTGTGTGTGTGTGTGTGTGTGTATCCTCCACCCCAAATAAGATCTGGCAGCTTTCAGAGTAGCAGTCACCCAAAACACTCTGTGTTCACACAGTTTTTACAAGTTAACAATGGAATGACTTCTAAATCTTTGGTTTAGAAGAAACCAAAATGAGAACTTTTTAACATCACAACATTGATTATGTTCTCTATAAGTGCACAGTGAACAACATTTTTTTTTTACAAAAGAAGAAAACAGTGACTTAGTGACTTAAATTAAAAAAAAATAAAACAGCAATAGCTACTTTCTACAGCATGCAACATTATAAAATGGTGAACTGGAGCCACTGTGAGCCTTAGAGAGACTGTCCTGCAAATCGAGTTTTTTATTTTTCTTTCTTTTTTTTTCCCAACTGCCTTCCAAAGCACAAGAGGTAATGAGGAATGCTCATTATCGACCATGGTCTTTTGTTCCTTCCATTGCTTTCAATGTGCAATTGTGCTTTCTTTCAGAAACCCAGACCTGAAACACTCTCTCCTGTAAATATCATCCATACTTATCTTTACAATATAAATGATTTCCAATTTTCCCAGAGCAACCCAAATCGAAGATTGCTTGCAAATCAAATGAGAGTAAGAGTGAGCTTTGTGACCCATGGGCCAAGTCACCAGTTTCTTCCTAAGGAAATTCTTGGCACTTCCTTTGGCAGCAAACTGTGCAAGAGAATGGGTTCTGCAGGAGAACCTGGACTTTTAACCTTCTAAAACATGGCTTTATTAGGAGTGTGGAGCTTGTGAGAGCGGAGACATCCTCTCCTCCCAATATTGGGCCAAAAAAAAAAAAAAAAAAAGAGGGAGAGAGAGAGATCTTCAAAAAGAGGAGTAAGAAAGGGTTGATATCTTGAAAGATAAATGGAGTGGGAGAAAGATAAACTGAGGTGGACCCCCCTTCCCATCATAAGAACCAGAACAAGAACAACGCAACAACAACAACAACAAGTTGGACCTCTATGAGAACAGTCCTGTGATAGCAATCCATGGCATGCATTCCTAGGAGGTGTGAAGAATGCTGTTTTTTGTCTAAAKTATCCCTGATAATGGCTTCCTGGGTCTAGAGATACCTTTCTGCCTGCCTATCTCTAGCTTTTGGAACTAAAGGGGTTTATGTAGAAGAATCTGAGAAATCTTCTTCCATGGTCTTCTTCCTTTAAAGTTCTCACCTATTACACAATGCTTATCAGCACCCAGATGGTGGTAATGACTGGGTTACTGGCAGAAAAAGAAAAAGAAAAAACAAAACAGGTCTAGATGGAATTCTCTGGACTCAGTGCAAGTTAGTTGTTTATCAGTGATCACACAGTCTAGGATTGGAACCACTCCAGTGGGGACAGTTTTGGGGTGGAAGGACATTATGTTGATTTTGCTTTCCTGGGAATGGATTGGTTCTGTCCCTCTATTGCCTCGAGGACTCCCTAACTGAAGTWGGACCTTGTTGCTCTTTTGAAAGACAGACAATGGAGATGTAGGAAGCAGCCTCCACCATCCATATATCTTCCATAATCTTTTAAGGGCTGGCTTCCTCATGCTCTCCAAAGACTTTTTTTTTTAAATAGTAATTCTAATAAATTCATGACAAAAGCTCACAGTATGAGCTTCTGCTCCAATAATGCCTGAGAAAAACTATGGGCTAGAAAAAATATTGGTATTCCAAAAGGCAGTGAAAAAAAAAATTTTTTTTTGCATCTGTACTCTTGAAAATGCACATTTCTGAATGCACTGCTGAAATTATTAAACAGTTACTGAATGTTAGTAAATATAACATATGTTTTTTTAAAAAATGACTCCTGCTTATTCTTATTATCACAGAAGCTCCCATTGCTTCTTTTGGATTTTCYTCTTCTTCTAGATAAGGGAAGTACTTAAGGGTTGTGTGATAGATATCCCCCRCCATGGAATTCCTACTGGTCTTTCTGAGCGTTGGCATTCTACCACTGCTGTAAGTGAAGGTCCATGGGAGAATTCAAATTGAGATCTGTGACATCCAGGAAATCAATGTTGAAGATGCTGGGGCCGCTGGTGGCAAGGGAGCTAAAGCCTGGTGTGGAGCTGGGTGGAGTGAGGTCCAGCCACTCCATGGTCTCCCACGGAGATTCTGTGAAGCTTAACTGCAGCCCACTGCTGTCCACAGAAGAGGGTGAAAACTGCGTCTGCATGGGGGAGAGGGGCCCAGGCAAGATCTCATGTGCATTGAAGAGGTCTTCTGCAGCCTTCCCGGAGAAGCCATCCATGATCCCATCGAAAGCAGGCTCCTCGTTCCCGATTTTGAGAAGGGCCACGTCGCTCATCTTCCCTAAGGGGCTGTGGGGATTTAATAAGACTTCCAGGTGCTCCTCGCTGTCGGCAGCATAGTGATCAAAGGAGAGCTGTCCTCCTGAAGAGGCTGGTTCACAGGAGGCCGAGGGCTTGGGGAGGACCACAGCAGGACTTCGGGAAGGCCCTGGTATCTTTGGGACTTTTTGAAGACATGAGTGATCCTCTCTGGCATCGGCGGGCATTTCTGTTGGCAAACACAATGCAAATTGTTATTCAGCACGGCATACAATGTGATAGGTGATGCGACTTCTCTGATCATTATTCCCCTCATTCTTCAGTAGTTTTGAGGGGTCCACCCCCTCTCCACAGGCCCCGTCTCTTGACCACCCCTCTTCATCTGCTTTTATGCCTCTAAACCCTGGATCCCCAGCCTTTGTGCCACTTCTGTGTCTCTCGTTCTCTGTCACTGCAGCATCTGTCCATCCTAGTCTCTCAGTTCCTTGTCTGTCCCCTCAGTGATGCCTGTGTCCCTCAACCGTTACACACATCTTGGATCTTGCCCCCGAACAATGCATCCCTCTGAAAGTTCTRTTTCAAGCAAAAATTCCCCACTCTCTTTCCCTCCTGCCTCAACTCTTTCGTTCACTTATTAAGTACCCCGGGACAAAAATTGTGTTGAGTGACTCCAGTCTGCTGACCACCATTTAATCACTGTCCATCAGCCCTTCATGCATCATACCCTTCATGTTATCTGATCCATCATGATAGTTACTTTTGTCCAATACCCTCAACCTCCTCTCTTCTGACTTTTTACCATACTAACCTAGCATACTAACGTGAAGACTGGATTAGCCTTACCATTGGCTTTCCCTGAATCGCCTGGATGTTTGAATAGAAAAAAAAAAAATTACACAACTAAGCCGATTAGTTTTATTTTGAATTCACAGTCTTAAGCCCACCGTTAGCATATACACGGCCTAACACTCTGCCCATGTTTCTCTAGTAAACCCAACTAATTCATGATTAACTGGAGACTGTTCATTCCTTGCCTCTCCCATACGACTCCTTCTGCACCCACATTCTTGGGTGACCTTGCCACCTACATCATTTAAAAAAAGGGGCATCTGAGGGATGGAGGTGTAGCTCRATGGTAAAGTGTTTAGCTAGCATGGTGAGACCCTAGATTCCATCCCCAACTCCACAAAAAAAATGTACTGATCACAAAAAGGGAGGGGGGCTTCTGATATGAACTCTCTCTCATCTTTCCATCATATGACTTACATGCATATACACACCAGCACATGCACATCTCTTTCATCTTCTTTCTTGTTCCAATAGGAAATATCTGTTCACTTGCTATCCACCCCATAGAGGAAGAGACTTTGTCTAGTGTAGAACTGACCCTTAGCATGGTGCCTAGCCACTCCTTCTCTGCGTACTCTCGAGCTTTCATGCAATTGCTTCAGGGTTCAGCTCTGAACTTCTCTTTACACCTACACATAATCTCTTTGGGTCCTCCTATTCATTTTTTTGTGTTTTTAAATGCTAGGTGCATACTTCATAATGTTTTTAAWTCAATAAATGAACGAGTTGAAAGGAGGCAAAAAGAACAGGATGATTATTTTTTATTGTTAACCTGAATAACATTTAAGCATGAATGGACCATCCAGGGGAAGATTACTAATTGAATTTCACTTTGAGTAGGTAGCACAAAACTTTCATGATCTGCTTGGTTCTTTTTCCCTTATCATTAAGAAGACAGGGGCATTGAGATCAGGACTATAGAAAGAAATTATACAGCAAGAGAAAACATTTAGGGAAAACAAAGATGGGGTTGAAAAGTGAAAACTTAAAACGATGATTGCAAAGTGTTCCTTGGATGAAGGCAGAGAGGAATCATCCGCTAAACTTCTTTTATCTGCTCCAAAAGGGCACCCAAAGCTCAGAGGAAATGACTCTCTACCTGCAGCCCACCTGGTGCACCTGATTCAGTGTGCACTTGACCTTGGTCCTGGGCATTCTTTCTCTAGAGTTTAACATAGGTGCAGAGGACCCTGATGGACAGGACACAAGGCAGTCTTACCTCCACTCTCAATGAGGACATCTAGGAGTTCATCCATCTGTTGACTCCGAGTCATTTGCTGTTGCAAATTAACCAAAGGAGAACGGGGCAATTAGAAGGCAATTTCACTTATGCAGAAAGGGGTGGCACTATAGGTTTTCAAACTAAATTTGGCTGAGTATTTTTTAAAATAGCAATAAAATACAAATAATATATAATTTATAACCTAGAACATTTTAAGTGTACCATTCAATGACATTAAGTACATTCACATTTTTGGTGGAGCGGGGGGCAACCATCATCATCATTCATCTCTGAGAACTCTTAATCTTACAAATCTAAAACTCTGTACTCATTAAGGAATAACTTCCCAGCCTGCCCCTCCCCTAGTCCCTAGCAACCAACCATCCTACCTTCTTACTCCATGAATTTGACTATTCTAGGTTCCTTTATAGAAGTAAAATCATATTGTATTTCTTCTTTTGTGACTGGCTTATTTCACTAAGCATACAGTCCTCAAGCCTCATCTATGTAGTGGCATGTGTCAGAATTTCTTTTCATTTAAAAATTGTTGGGCTGGAGATGTGGCTCAAGCGGTAGTGCGCTCGCCTGGTGTGCGTGTGGCCTGGGTTTGATCCTCAGCACCACATACAAACCAAGATGTTGTGTCCGCCGAAAACTAAAAAATAAATTAATAAAAAAATTCTCTCTCTCTCTTTAAAAAAAAATAAAATAAAAATTGTTATACTTGGCATAGGGCATTGAACTTAGGGATAGTTAACCACTGAGCCACATCCCCGGCCTTTTTATTTTTTTATTTTAAGACAGGATCTCACTAAGTTGKCAGGGCCTTGCTAAGTTGTTGAGACTGGCTTTGAACTTGTGTTCCTCCTGCTTTCGTCTCCTGAGTCACTGAGATCACAGGGGTGTGCCATGGCACCTGGCTCTTTTAGTTTTTGAAGATGGAATAATATTCCATTATTTAGATCTACTACATTCTACATTTTGTTTATTCATTCACCTGTAGATGAACACTTGGATTGTTTCCACCTTCTGGCTATAGTGTATAATACTGTTACGATCTTGGGTAGAGTGGTGAAAGGTTTTTGAACTGTTCGATTAACTCTCAGTGTAAACTTTAGGCAGGTGATCTACAGGATGAAATAAGCTATTACAATAAGAAAAGGAGAAAACAGGCAGAATGACTTCCAACACAGAATATGCACTTTAGAATAAGTTTGGTTGTTTTAGCCATTTCCATCCTAGGAGCAGGGTCATCTTAAATACATAAAGAAATACCTTTTCTCACTCTGAAGTGAGAATCTCTCTTATTTGACCCGAGTGGAACCTGGCCCACGTTTCCTCAGTGCCTCTTTGAAAAAGCTTGAGGAACTGGTAGAGCCTTGTAGAGTTCACCTTTTCCCCTCTGCTCATCTGAGTTGTTAAGTGCAATCTTAAAAGTCCACTCTGCCTGACCTTTTGCTTTTCTATYGAAATCGTCAAGGATCAGCTCATGTTTCAAAATTCAGGGGGATGAAGTGGAGATATAGCAAGGGCAGCAAAGCATCCCTCTCTCCCCTGGGAGCTCAAAGCCAATATACATGGGCATCAATAATCAATACAGATGGGAACACTGCTCCAAGACTGAGTCATTTGCCAGTCCGGACGGTACCACATGCTACAAGTTCTRGCAGGTAACGTAAATGAGCCAAAAATAGAAGAAAGAGAGGAAGAATGCAGAGCACAGCTGTGGCTCAGAGAAACAGGGGGTACTCTGCTTTAGGTCATTGTTGTTTGTCAGCAAAGTGGATCCCATGTTGGCAGATCCCCTAGTTTTTCAGAACTGTGAGAAAGCCTTCCTGATCTATAGCACATCTCTCTTACCGACAACTGGCCTTGCTCTGGGATACCAGTCAGTGGGCAGCAACCAAGGCCACGTTCTTTTCTGGACTGAGCACCTCCACGCTCAGACCCTCAGTATCCTTAGGGGATTGGTTCATGACCTTTCTTGGATACCCCCATCCCCAGACACTCAAGTCCCTTGTATAAAGTCATGTAGTATTTGTATAGAACCTACATACATCCTCCTGTAAACTTAAAATCATCTTTAAGTTACTTATATTATCTGAATCATGTAAATGCCACGTAAATAGCTGTTTAGGGAGTTGTGTACAAGTCTGTACATGTCTCTACAGATGCAGGTATCACAGGCCTAAAGTTACAAGTGAATGGGACGTGAGGTGGATGATGCTCAAACAAGTGTTGGAAAGAGACGCAGGATCTATGAAGTGGCTAGCGCAAGGTGTACATCACTTGATTTACTTGGAGTCTATATAGTGCTTGGAATGTGGCCAATTCGAGATTGTCTTTTTTTTTTTTTTTTGGAACTTTCAGAAATTTTTTTTTTTTTCCCAAAGCATGTTTAATCCACAGCTGGTTGAATCCATGACATAGAGGGCTGACTATATGTTTTTCTTTTCTTCTTCTTTTTTTTTTTTTTAATTTTTTGCTTGTTTGTTTTGTTTAGTACCAGGGATTGAACCCAGGGGCACGGAACCACTGATTCACATCTCCCTGTCATTTTTTTATATTTTATTTTGAGACAGGGTCTCCCTAAGTTGCTGAGAGCCTTGCAAAATTGCTGCCACTGGCTTTGAAATGGTGATCCTCCTGCCTCAGCCTCCCCAGCCACTGGGATCATAGGCATACATCACCACACCAGGCCTGTTCTTTTTCTTACTTTTGAAACGTTCCTAACACCAGTGGAAGTAGAGAACACAGGGACCTCCCTACATTCATCATTCAGCTTTAACAACCATCAATATTTTGCCCGGACTGTTGGATTTTAAAGCTCGGAAGAATCTTAGAAAGTATTGCCTTGACAACTGTTCTCACATCTTGAGAACCCTATCATGTGCCCAAACAATATGGTAAGTGTCAGATTACGTAGAATCCTTACAAAATAAATATGGGCCCTCTTTATAGAAGTTGAGTATGTGCCCATCCTTCGTGGTAGTGGCAGGTGGCAGAGTTGGCGCTGAGGCCAGGAATCCTGGATGCCAGCCCAGCCTCTTCTTTCTGCCTCTCTCAGCTTCTAAGGCTGCTCCTTGACTTATGATGGGATGACATCCAGATAAGCCCACTGTCAACCGACAATACCATGAGTCAAAAATGCATTTAATACACTTAACCTGCCAGGCCTATTGGCTTAGCAACAGAGCACGCTGGAGGATGAGTTGCTTTCCATCATAACTATGGGGCTTCCTAGGAACTGAGGCTYGCTGCTGCTGCCCAGCCTCGAGAGAGGATTGTATCACATCATCAGCCTGGGACAGGTTCCAAACTCAAAGTACAGTTTTGARTGCAGTGGACAGTGTATTGCTTCATATACCATCATCAAGTCGGAACATCCTAAGTTGAAACATCCTGAATTGGAACCATCTGTATACGCATACAATACCATCGACTCTTAGTGTGTGCTTTGTTCATCCTGTTGGGAAGGCCCTCAGCACATTCCACGTCAGAATTTACAGACCACGTCAAGTTTAACAATACACGACAAAGGGCCATTGAGTCCCTCTGACCTTCCATAAGAGACAAACCATGTGATTACCTGCTTGACCGCATCTTCATAGGAAGGAGGCTGTGTTATCTCGGAAACCGTTGAACTGGACTTAGGAAAAGTTGGGGATGCGATCGAAAACTTGGGCCCCGCCTGATCAGAAGGGTGTAAACCAGCCATCTGTGTGTCRCAAAATACAGAGAAAGGCATTCAATACAAGAATGAGAAGAGGCACTGCTTCTGTTCTAGAATCTACAAACTACTTAAAAAAATAAATAAAAATAGGGCTGGGGATGTGGCTCAGTGGTAAAAGCACTTGCCTAGCATGTGTGAGGCTCTGAGTACAATCCCCAGCATGCCCCCCTCCCCCACAAAAAATTTAAAACAATAGATCTAAGACAACAACAACCACAACAGTAACTAGCAGAGATTATATAATAATAACTAATTCCAATTTATCAACAATAGTAWATATTCCTGGGGATTTATTGCTGGTGGCATTATAAAGTGGAAACCCTAAATCTTTATTTCCCCCTCTAAAGTACACGCTTTCTCTTAGGAGAAAACAAGAAAAAAACAAAACAAAACAAAACAAAGCAAAACAAAGAAACAAACAAACAAACAAAAGAAATCAGAGTCTAATCCAATACAAAGGAATTCACCAACCTAGGAATTTCCAGAGTAATTYGTTCCCCAGGTCATTTCATTCCAAGTGTGTATTTGCTCCATTAAGGCATTGCTGGGGTCTCTGAACCAGCTTTGTTTATTGTAAGTATGTTCTCCTGTGGGGTACCTGGCCCGTGTCAGGGTCCCCCTCCCTCCTCTGATCTGTGGCACGTGGCTCTTTTGTGTCATGACTAGCTTATTTTTGTTTCCCTCTTGCTGCCTGATTGCACCTTGGAACACCCCATATCCTGGACCCTTCACACCCCTGGTTTCTTCTGCCAGATGATGCCCATCATTTCTGCCTTTTGCCACAGAGACATGGCACTGTGATCTCACCTCTCTGATTCTTTCCAGGAATCCCTGTACCTTGTCTTTCCTCCAACATTCTTTCCCCATACCCCTCAATCTTCAGCTTCACAGAAACTGGTTTGTTGCCCAAACTGCTTTGCAAACACACCATGCCATTTTCGTCACTGTGATTTCTGGAACGACTCCCAGCAATGATCCCCTCGGAGATACTCATATTTGTACATCCATTTCAAGGCATTTCGAGTGGACCCGTTTCTCTCTGAAATGAAATTTTCTTCTGCCTTGGAACCTCTCATCGTTTGTATTGGAGGACAGGGGAGGGAGGCACAGAAGAGGAAAGAGGTGATGCACATTTCAGGTCTGAACCTTTCCCAGGTACTTACCTTTGGCTGTACACCTGGGCTTTTGGGGCAAGGGTTGCTCCCAGCACCATGGCTGCTATCTGCTTGGGCTCCAGAGAAAGGCGGGTGGAGGCTGGAAGGCTGGGGAGAGAAGCTTGGAGGATGGCCATCGTGTGCCCCTGAGTTCTGCAGAAAGGAAGACGTACCAGCTCAACGTCAGAGGTGTGCTCTCCTATGGCTTTTGCTGACACTTCTGCGCCCTGCCCGGTGCTCCTTGGAGACTTATCTTTACAGGAATTCCTAAATCCCATTAGCAGACCAACGTGCCTAGAATCTACCTTTGCACTTTTCACATATTGCTCATGAATTTCCAGTGCCTCTCACAAATTCCAGCGTAGGATCTCCACCTCTAACGTGGATATGTGTTCAATTTGCAATTTGCTTCTGGTGCTGTTTACTTCTCTGAAAGCTTAAATTCTTACATAGAACAGGAACAACACATCGGTACAGTCGACCTCACTATCTTTATTCCTTTATGTCCTTCTCTTCCTTCTCTCGCTATTTTAATGCTACATTTCCGGTCAAGTCTGAACCATTCATAAAAACTTCCTAGACCTTTCTAACCTTTTATGACCAATCTTCACCATCCCTCCCCCYACCAACTTACTGCAACATTTAATGTTATAGGCACAGTCATCGATATTGTTACCCTTTTATCAGGAAATTGTTAATATCTTCAAAGAGTCTTTGTAAACCATAAATCACTGTACAAATATTAGTTCTTCTTTATAGCACCAAAATCATCCAAATTGAAAACTATGGCCCAGAGCTATGTCTCCAGAGTTATTTTTTTTAATCATTGTTGCCTAGGACATTATGCATTCCATAAATATTTATTAGCAGTGATGATAATCCATTTTAGACCCAATGGCCCCCAGAGCACTCCTCAGGAATGAGTATCACTCATTTGAATGTGTTGTTTTGGTAAACTTGTACCAATGTATTGTCATTATCTTTAGCTACACCTCATATTACCAAGGTAGCAATATTGCAATATTTAGTGTGAAAAGGACATGAACTTTAGAATCAACTAATCCTGGTTCATGTGATGCTGGGAAATAGGTCTAATCTCCCTGAGCTTCCTTTTCCTCAATGATGACTAAAGAATTACTTACATGCATGCCTCTTAATACTTAGCACTCGGCACGTATCATATTAGTGGTTTCTTCCTTTCCTAATTCCAGAACATTTTCATAATATAATTTGCTTTCTCAAACTCATACAAACTTTCCCAATCATTCTTCAATTTCGTGGACAAAAATGAAAGTCTTTGCTGATCATGTCGCTCTAGTCTTTGAATTACTCCTTGAAGTCTACAACTCTTCTAACTCCTAATTTCTGAACATTCCACACATATTCCGATCTTAGGACCCATGTTCTTTCTATACCTCTTTTACCTTCAGTGACTTCACCTAAAATATTCATGATGTTTTCCTCCTTTAACTCTTTCAAGGTTTCCCTCAGATGTCTCTGGCCTTTTGATTCAAGGTTACAAAGTTTCAAACTTCTCACAAAAACACAACACTCTCTCTGCTCTTTCTCTATCAGATGTATCATCCTCTGATATATTACATAATTTACTTTTTTTAAAAAAAATTGCTTATTGTCTGTCTTCCCATGAGACTAGAGATTATTTGGCCAGTTCAGCATTAACCTCCAGTGGCTAGAATAGAGGATGGCACATCTTAGGTGCTGGGTAAATAGTTCTACTATATAGACTATAACATGGAAAGAAGAATAGGGTCTGGTAACTTCCTCTTCAACTTGCTTGATGAAATGATCTGGGCTATCATAAGAGTGATTCCAAGCAGTCCTAAGAGCAAACTGGTCAGCAAACTATAGCCCATAAATTAAATTGTGCTTACTGCCTGTTTTTGCAAATAAAATTTTATTGGAGCTATATGCATTCATTTACAAGATATCTATGGCTGCTTATGTGATGAAAGGGCAAAACTGAGTAGTTGTGACATGCAAAGCCCCAAATGCTTACCATCTAGTACATTCTTTTAATTAATTAATTTGGTACGAGGGGTTGAGTTCAGAAGCACTTTACCACTAAGCTCTATCCCCAGTTTTTTCTAATATTTTATTTTGAGACAGGTTTTGCTAAGTTGCAGGGACACCCCCCCCCAACTTGTCATCCTCCTGCCTCAAGACTCCCAAGTCACTGGCATTGCAGGTTTGAGCCAGGGGTGCCTCGCTCCACCTGGCTGGTTATATAACAAGTGTGCCAGCCCTGTCTTAGAGGGTAAGTGAACCTGGTCTACTGTGGGGGCTTGTGGATTGCTTCTTTAGTGGTTGGAAATTTGCCTTCCAACTTCCTGAAAGAGGGTTACACTGGGTGTGTAKCGAGGTGTTCTTACCTGTGTGGTGCACACCTGGCTGATGGGTGAGGAGACCCTGTGCCCTTCTCCCTGCGCCCCGGAAGATGAGGGTAGGAAGTAATGGTTGTTGGGTGATGGGGGCAGACTGATGTGCTGCGGGCTTTTCARGGTTCCCAGGGGCGAATGCTGTGGAGAGCACTGGGGACTGAGAAACGTGGAAGAAAGTACATTGGTTTGACCTGAGGACTCCACACAGTGAGCGTTTCCAAGGGGCAGGAGTGGAGCCGCTTCGCAAGCGGGGGGTTGACTCTCGGAGCTGTTTTGTCCTTTCACGGACACTTGTTGGGATGCAAAAGGACAGCTGGAGACCGCATCTTCCTGCTTGATGGGGGCAGCTAAGAAGGGCAGGGGCTTCTTCTCCGAACAGTTATTGCTTTTCTGCTTCTGAAGCTGCATCCTCAGCTCTTCCACCTGCCTTTGCTCTTGCTGCAGTTTCCAGGTCAGTTCATTGATCACCTTCTGCTTCTCCACCAGCATCTTGTCCTTCTCGGAGTCCAGCCCGTCCAGCTCCGAAGGACCCGAGCCCCCGTTCAGGCTGCTCATGAGACTTTCCTCCGTGCAGACGTGCACTGGGGACGGGTGCAGACCAAAGGACGGAGAGGCGTCGGTGAAGGTGTCCGGCAGGGACCCGGCCACCGACAGGTCAGAGGAGGCGGGGGAGATTGGGGGGCTGGAGCTGGTGCTGCCGAAGCGGTAGAAGCCATTGGATAAGGCACTGGTGGAAGGGGACGACTGGTAATTGGGCAGCGCGTTGGGTGTCACGGGAAAAGTGACAGTCGTTATGTCGCCGAAGTTGGGTACAGAGTTGCCGGAACAGTCCTGGAAGGGTCGAAGCCGGTCCATAAGAGCCGTTTTGGTGCCTGACACSGGCAAGCCCCGTATCCGAAGCTGTTGTCTTAATTCAGAGACCTAAAGAAACCAGGACGCTGTTAGTGTGCTGCCTAATGACAATATTTTAAAAATGTCTCTTTATAATTAAATTAGTTTTAAAATGTCATACATGGAATTTTATAATGTCCACTCCTCTTTTTTTCTCTGCTTCTTCTCAATATCCCCTCCCACCCTTGATATAAATTGGTTTTGCACAATTTGAATGATTCCTTTTGACTCTTATCATATATACAGGTGCTCCTCAGTTTATAATGGGGGTGATGTCCTAATAATTCCATGGTAAACTGAAAACATCGGAAGTCAAAATGCATTCAATGCACCTAACCTACAGAACATCTCAGTTTAGGGTCAGAGGGTCAGTTCATTCGGTTATTTCAGGGGAGACTCAGAGGTATGATCGCTATTATCACCCAGCAACTTCAGAAAGGATCAGACAGCATATTGCTAGCTAGGGAGAAAAGTTCAAAATTTGAAGTGCAATGCATACTGAACATGTGCTCTTTTCTCAGCATTATAAAGTAAAAATATCATAAGTTGAGCTATTTTAAGTTGGGGACCATCTGAACCAAGTGTTCATGGCCTGAGAGTCATGGAGATGTGGATYGTAAATGAATGGTAAAAGTCACCTAATGTGCTGACCTTCCACCCCCATTTTGGTCCCTGTTCCCATTTTATAGATGAGCAAAGCTGTAGCTGCCTGGTGTAGWCAGATCCCTCACATGATGATCCCTAAGCATAGTTGAATTTACAGGACTTCTGGCTTTCTGAGTCAGGCCTCTTCTCACCATATCCTCTTCCTCAAACGTAAGCATGCACTTGAGCAACTGAGGAYGTGTGATAACACATACTCCACCTTGGAGTTCTGGTTCAATAAATCTGGGTGATGACTAAGATTTTGCATTTTTAACAAATTACCAGGGGATATTGATGCTTCAAGTCCCTGGACCAGACTTTGAGAATCTCAGTTCTACATTAACATTTTTGTCTTAATTTTAATGATGAATGTTTGACAATCATATGTTGACAGAGGGTGGGAGGGATGGAGATGGAGAGAGAGAGAGAGAGAGAGAGAGAGAGAGAGAGAGAGAGAGAGAAATATCAGTCCAAACCCTTACCCTTACCCTAGCTCTGCAATCCTCTGTGCCTCATTCATGACATGGAAATGGTAATACTTGCCTTATATATTTCTGTAAGGGGCAAATGGCTTGAATTTTGTTAAGCTCTTGGAATAGTTCCTAGTAAAGACTTATGCAATGTTAGGACTTAATATTTTTTTCCATATGTGTGTGTGTGTGTGTGTGTGTGTGTGTGTGTGTGTGTGTTGGTGTACTAGGGATTTAACCAGGGGCACTCAACCACAGAGCCACATTGCAAGCCCCCCCTTTTTATATTTTACTTAGAGATAGGGTCTCACTGAGTTGCTTAGGCCCTCAATAAGTTGCTGAGGCTGGCTTTGAAGTTGAGATCCTCCTGTCTCAGCCTCCCAAGCCCCTAGGAATACAGGCATGCATCACCATGCCCAGCCTTTTCCATATATATTTTTTAATTAGTGCATAATGGTACATAATGGTGGTGGCTTACTATCATTGTAATATTCATAAGTAACTAGTTGATCCCTGCATTTTTTTATAATGTTCATAAATTGGAAACTATAAAATATACACAAATATGGGAACTTTGAATAAGTGATGGTGCATGCAAATGATGGAGTATGTCAAAGCCATTAAGATTTGATGCTATACCTGGGCACATCTGTAATCCCAAGAGCTCAGAAGGCTGAGGCAGGAGGATCACAAGTAGAAGTCCAGCTTCAGCAACTTAGGGGTCCCTAAGCAACTTAGTGARACCTTGTCTCAAAATAAAAAATAAAAAGTAATAGGGATATAGCTCAGTGGTAAAGCACCTCTGGGTTCAATCTCTAGTGCCTCCTGCAATAAAAAGGTTGATGCTATAAAGTGTTGCCCTTGGATGMTGAATATTTACTTATGGTATATTATTAAGTGAAAGAAAGTTTGAATTGATTATATTTTTAAATATATATAAATATAAATATATATAAAATATATAAATAATGTGCATATATATTTAAACCTGTTTGCATGTGAAAATATCTAGATAAATATATACTAAAATGTCAACAATAGGATTCCTTATCTGTAATTTCTAAATACTCCACATAAGCATATTGCTTTTGTGATTAAAAAAGGAAATGCATTAAGTAGGTAAGTTTCAATAATTTTGCAAAAAAGAATATATAGAGAAATATTCTTTTGAGATTTTTGTAGAGAAAGATATTTTGGGCATAAATTTAGAGGAAGAAATCATAAGAATATTGACAACCAAAATTTAAAACTTCTATAAGTCACAAGAACCATAAACAAAATGAATGTGGATCCAAGTAGCAATCTTGGAAAACAAATCATTGCAGCACAAATAATTAAGTGCTTTTAAAAACTCCAATGTATTAACTGTGCTTACCAATAAAAAAGAAAAAAAGGCTGATAGCCAATATAAAAATAGATAGGAGAAATGATCCAGTTCTTCATAAACACAAATAAAATTTAGATAATGACCAATAATGTATGTGTATCATCATTAGTAAYGCAAAAAATGAAAGTAAAATAAATATGTACCTACGTTGGAATTCATAAAATTGACAAAGAAATGAGTAATAACCCTTTGTGTTAGTGAGGTAGTATCGAAAATAAAAACGTTAAAAAGAAAAAAGATCTTTATTATCTTTCTATTTAAAACATAGTCCTTGGGTTGGGGTTGTGGCTCAGCTGTAGAACCCTTGCCTAGCACAAGTGAGGCCCAAGGTTTGATCCTCACAGCACCACAAAAAAATAAATAAAGGTATTGTGTCTAACTACAACTAAAAAATAAATATTAAAAATAAATATTAAAATAAAATAAAATAAAACATGGTCCTGATCATCAGTGCAAGTAATATGTGGGATCTAGTTAGAAATACAGAATCTCTAGCCCCTCCCTAGACCTACTGAATCAGAATTTGCATTTTATCAAGTGCCTGGGTGATTCATRTATACATTAATGTTTGAGTAGTGCCGCTTTAACGTGCTGCTTCTGGGAATAAACTGGAACAAATGTTCAGGACAGAAATTTGGTAATATGCCTCAAGAACTTTTAAAAATATTAATACATTTTTCATTCCAGAATTTCAGTTCTCTATAGTTAGCCTGGAGAAATAAAGCAATTAATAGATATATGTACATAGGCCATTGAAATCATTTTTCGAATAACAAAACTTTTGGCAGTTAGTTAAATGTCCTATAGTGGAATGTTAACAAGGTGGTGAAATGATATGTAGCTATTAAAAATAAAACTTTTATTGACTACTAAAAGTTACGAAAAATGTTCATGATGTGTTAAAAAAAGAAAGCATGTCAGAAATTTATGTACACATAATTATTTAAAAATAGTTATTGTGAAACAAAATATGTTCACAGGCATCATAAATCTAGAGGGAAATATAATCTGTTGTGCTTTCTGAGAGTCTTGTCTACTAAAAGAGTATTTATTTTTCTATATACTATCATATTTCACTGTGAATATATGTTGTTGTATAATCAGTTAAAAGTTACCCAAAAAAGATGGGATCAACTTACGCTAGCAATGAATATTCTATTTCCCCATATCTTGCTGGTAATSTCTTATCTACTTTTTTCCCCTTTAGATTTGCTGGTTTTAAAAAAATGCAAGATGGTAACACATTATTGTTTTAATTTTGAATTACTTAAAATTAATGAGTTCTACGTTTATTTTTAGAATCTGTTCTGGCACTGAATAATTTAAGCAACATTATTAAATAATGCAGCTCGTATTCTAAAATAAAATGAACACTTGCTGAGTTCAGTTTACCTTAAGTTTCAGATTATTATGCTCGGTGGGCTTGTTTGGGAAGAAGACCTGCACCCACCTGTTTGCTGCATTCCCTGGAGTTTTAATCATTGATCACTTTTTAAACCATTTATTATGGAAAAATTCAAACATACACAGAAGTTGATAGACAAGTATAATGAACCTCATGTACTTTCCAACCAACACCAGCAATTATCACCCAACTTCTGCCCAGTCTTATTTCTCTTATACCCTAATCTATTTCTTTCCCTACCTGCCCTAGATGATTTTTGAAGCAAATCATTTAATTCCATTTGTAAATATTTGGTAACTATCTCGAAAAGATAAGCAGTTTTTTAAAAAATAAAAACTAGCATTAGCACACCTTGAATAATGAACAATTGTTTCCTAATGTCCATCAAACATGTCCCCAGTTTTAAGTCTTCCCAGTCCCACCCCCTTGGCTCTTGTTCTCACTCTCAGTTCCTCTCACTCTCCAGTTTTTAAGAAAGGAAATGCAAAACCCCATTTATATTCATCTATTCATCTTTTTCAGTTCTGCTGTGATGGATGATGGACAGATGGATGAATATGCCAACCCTAAGGACTGCTTTGAAATGCACYGGGTTCAACTTGAAGTTCACTGACCCTTTAATGAACCCAGATCCATGTAGCCTGTGATGGGAAGTAAATTTTTCATGCATGTGTTATTTAACAAGGTGTGGCTTCAGAACAGAAGTCCCCGGATTTGAGAATTTCATAGAACAGGACATTGTTTTCAATTATATTACTGACATTAGGTTACCAACATTCCATCTTACTCAATAAGGACCAAGGTTCTTATTTCATGGTATCCTCATTTAATAAAAAGGCACATGTACAACCCCACCCACAACCCTCAACTTCTGTTCACTACTAGCATTGTTTTCCAATTTCAAAACATTATGAGAAAATATATACTTTGGATTAATATTGCTCAGATATGTAGCAGGTACCTAGATGCTTACTTGGTTCTTGTTTTTCTCATTTCATCAGAGATTTTTTTTTTWAAAAAGTTCATCATGGAATTGGCCACAGTTTAGAGCATTCTGAATGCTTCATATAAATCCCACAATGACACTAGGCTAAACTCTATCATATATATGAGTCCATTTATAATAACTCATTTATGCAAATGAGGAATCTAAGATGCTGAGACATGGGAAGACCAGCTCAGGTTGTGCAGCCTGGAAAGCTGAGCTGGGGGCCTAGAGCTCTGTGCTTTGTGGGGGTGTCTGACCACCTGGGTGGACATCCTGTCATTCCCTGGAGCCTCTTCCATGTACTCTCCACTTTATATTCTCTTACCCCAGAAATCTGTTGGCAAAGATGATAATGAATGATATATTGCTGTGTTTGTCAAATAAACCAATGGAAAGAAAGGAAGAGGRGGGAAAAGAAAAGAAGTAAGGAAGAGAGAAACAGAAGGAAATCATGTCCAATCTTATACCTTTAGATCATCCAGGTTAGGTGGGAGTGGGCCTGGCTTGAAAGAAGAGACACCGGTTTGTCCAGAAAAACTGTTTTTGACGGGAGACAGAGGGGTATTGCTCAGTGGTGCTGAAGAGGAGTTTGGATTTCGGACCATCTGTTCGTTGGGTTCTCTAAAAAAGAAACAAAGAGGCACTTAAAATACAATCAAATATATATGGGTAACGTGTATTTGAATCACACAGTAATAGGTCGCACGGATCAGGCATGTAATCAACCAGGCGAAGAGAAATAGCAGCACGGGCTAGATGGCAAGTGGCAAAAGACCCTCAAGCTTGACTGGGGGGAGACAGGAGGGAGGGGTGGAGACTTYAGCATATGGAAGAGGGCATGTCCATCCATGACGTAGTTGATGCACTCTTCTGGGGAGTCCTGAGCATGCAGCATTTCGTAGAATTGCCAGTATGACCTGAGAGTGACCAGAAACAGGGGAGAGAATACACATTCCAACTTCGTAAGTGAAGATATTGACCATTCCAAAGGTGACCTGGTCATGTGATCACAAAGCCCTGTGGGCTCAGGAGTCAATCTTTTGAGACTCTCACTGAGCGATTCAGCTCTGTTGTTTCCCAGAGTGAAAGTAGAAGGGCATTGGAATTGTGAGCGATGCCAACACTACATTCTTAGCTCTTTCACAATTCACTTTGGAAATGCCCATAGCTTCCTTTTTCTCCAAAGAACATTGATTTGCTTGTTTTATCCCAGCCATACGATCCTGAAAGTTGTGCATGGTGTCTAAATACAGCCATATTTCAAATGTATCAGAAAAAAATAGATTCTTATTAGAAAAAAAAATATATATCTGATGAATATTCAAACATACCAGACAAGGACATGTGGGCTGGCCCCATGTGCCTCAGACAGAGAGAAGCCATTCCCTACCTCTGTCCCCAGCCTCCATTCCCGGCTTGCCTGACTTACTTGAGTTGTRCTTGGTGCATCCCAGGGTAGTTGAATCTGTGTTGTTGTTGTTGTTGTTGCTGCTGCTGCTGCTGCTGGCTGAGAATCTGGAGCTGCAGGAACAGCTGTTGTTGCTGGAGCAGCCGAGCATAAGCTGAGTCCATGGGCGGTGGGGACTTCTCTGCCTTCTGGTCAGGGGGAATGTACTGGTGATATTTAAGCTTCTTCACCTTGGGCTTGGGGTCCTTGGGCTTTTTGTGGCGATTCTTACTGTCACCCAAGGACTTGGACTGTAAAGGGTATGAGGAAATGGCATGTGCTTTAGGTGACGAAAAAGAATGACTTGGTTGTGAGGGGGTTTTAACCTAATGGATATTATCAAATCCTGGAAATACAGCATAGCACATGCACGATGCACAAAGAATCCCTACAACATCAATGGTTTGGAGGAACCAATCTGCTGCAAATACAACCTCCTGAAGTATCACTCCTTAAGACTGGGAAACTTAAACCTTAGAATTGGCTTCAGGAGTTTTTCCCCTCCCTGGAGTAGGGTAGGAGGTCAGGCTGAGTTTCCACGAGTACATTCTTCCTATCCTAAAATCAACGGATAACCTGACATTCCAATGCTGGGCTTACTCCTAAGGCAGTCCTTTCATCTGTAKGCACACAATTGCCTTTCATCAAGCAGGTAATAAATTGACTTATTAATGACATAAACTTAGAGGAAGTTAAGGTGCCTTTTGTAAATCCAGTATGTGGTTCTCTGCTGCTCTGAGCCCAGAGTAAAACAGAACTGCCCGTTTACCCTCCACCCTCACCCCACTCAAATGCTGATATATGATCAGGAAATGGCACCTCTGAAATAATGACTCTTTATTTATTATGGGAAGGGTGAGCCACCCACTGGAACCCTTCCCAGAAGTGACCCATTGTAGAGCCTGACTTGGACACAGTAAAGGAAGATTAGGGTACAGCCTTGGCAGCGAAATTTTTGAACATGGTACCAATACTTAAGATGACTCCATCTCAGTTCCATTACCTGCAAGTTGGGGAACGTATTCTCCTATCTTCTATCTCAGTGATCAATATAAAGACTATAACYGATGATGTTGAAGTGATAAGAGATGCTCAATGAACAGGGTAATTCTATTCATAACCTGCTTCTAAAATCAAAAGGCCTCATATATTAGGAAATAAATAAATTTTCACTTTTTGACTTTACTAGAGGAGGTTGAAATGGAGAACAAGGATATCATGACCAAAGATTTTTCAAGATGTGGAGAAAAACTGGAGGGAAAGTGTGGTACCATCAGTGTCCAGAAGAGGGGGCTCCTGAATAGCTGGCAGGTATATTTGGACTTGGCAGCCTCCCCATTTCAACCACAAAATACACATCTGAATGTGACCTTATCCAAGGGGCCTACAATTTGCTTTTCTCTGACTCAGCTCATCCTACCACCAAAGGCTCTTTTGTTTTCTCAAAGAGTGTTCTTCCCCGAGACTAATGAATAACAAGTGCAWGTATTTTTGTGTGCATGGTGGCTTATTTCTTCATGCTCATTAATCTATTAGTGTTCCAATGAATTAAYCAGTCTGCTGTGCTGGAGAGTTTYTACAGGGGTTCCTGCAATCAGTTCTGCCCTGTCTTGCTCCAAATCAGCTGCCGGGCCCATCATCTCCCAGAGATGACTGGGGAGGATGGGAGTAGCAGCCCTGGGTCTTGAAGCTAAGTTAGGGGTTCAAGGATGATTTTTTAGTTTGTTTTTGTTTTTTCATTTTTTTCTTCCTCTGCGTGGTCTAAGCACGGGGACTGTGAACATTCCAGAAGATATTGAAATGATCATTTTTTTTTCTGAATAGCGTGGGGGGCAAAGATGACTGAACTTATGGAAATGCATAGTTTCATTCTCTCTCTTTTTTTTTTTTGAGCTTTGGGGATATTAAAGCTGTATCTGTTTGTTTTTCTCTTTACAGCTACACAGAAGGAGAACACATTAATCTTTCTAAAAATGGATCAGAAGTGGATCCACTTCAGTGCTTAAAGACTCAGGCATAGATGTGTGAACTGGATTAGTGTATACATGAGAGGTAGTGGTGTGGCTTTGGCTAGAAAGTGCATGATGTTCTAAAACCGTAACGATTCAAACACACACACACACACACACACACACACACACACACACACACACCTGGGCTTTGCCAAATAACATACCACCCCAGAAGCCCACAATGTGCTGATCTTGCTCTGCAAGGTGAAGCCGAAACTCAGTAATCTGCCAAGGGAAATTTCACCAAGCTGCCTAAATCTCTCCTCTATAACACCGGACAGGCTTTCTTTTCTTGCAATTTTCTGCCATCTGAAACAGCCTTGCCATCTGACACTCTGGCTCATCCTTTCAGGCTGGCTCAAGCCCTGGATCACTTAGGAAGCCTTTCCTAACTTGCAGTGAGGTGCCCTGTCTGCACTCCTCATGTGGCATTTYGAGGTTGCGTGAGGATGGTCACATCGGGGTATTTCCTGCCAAGGGGGTGAGGCAGACTAAAATCCAACCCCCAGTCTCCTTCCTAGACCACTGGCCTTGAGGGAGCCACCTGTGGCTGCTTGGGGAAGGAGAACCTTTTTTTAATTTTCAATATAAAAGTAACAAACACACCACCATCATAACCACGATAGTACATTCARAATATTATGCAACCATCACATCTATCTAGTTCCATTACCCATAAAACAGTCATCCCTCATTCCTTCTTCCCTTATTCCCCAACAACCATGAATGTGCTTAGATCTTGAGAGATCTGATTATTCTGAGTATTTAATGTAAGTGGAATCATATAAATGGCTTCTTCCTGTACTGGCATAATATTTTTCCAAGGATCATTCATTTTGCAGCAGGTATCATTATATTTTTCTTTTTCAAGAGTGTGTAATAGACAGTCTTATGGATAGACCATATTTTATGTATTCAGTCATCAACTGATGGAAATTTGGGTTGGTTCCAACGTGTTACTCTTGTAAATGGTGCCTAATATTAATATTCATGTACAAGTTTTTGTTTGAACACCTCTTTTCTAATCTTAACCTAACAGGGATAAATCTTTAACAACTGGGATGCATAGGTATGGATCAACTGGAAGGGATGGTGACTCATATATAAGTAACTTGCCCTCCCGAACCAGTTGGATATCGGTATTAATACCATACTTCACTGAAAGATCTGGTCTTTCTTTTGGGATCCTAYCATAATTTCTTGGAACAGTGAGGTTGACGGCTTTGCTAATTTGAATTATGCAAAATTTAAATATGCTGATAGAGACATTAGTAAAACGTCTCTTTATCTATAGCATTAGAAATCATGTGAATCGTCTCCCTCTCCTTCCTCTGCAAGGCATAGAATTCATCAATTTTCACATAATGTCAAGGCTGCTGAGCTGAGCGACTTGTAAACTGGGTTTATGCTATTGTGGTTTGGTGGGGGAGCTTTTCTAGGAAATTAAAATTCCTACCATCCTGTGAGAGCATRAAGCTGTTACTTTATCATTGACTTGTGCCTCAATTTATAACCTCCCACACTTTTTCTTCTCAATCCCCAAGGAGTCATTTCAGCATTCATTAGGCGGTGGCACTAGGACTGAGAAAACATGCTCCCAAATCACGTAAAAGTTATTGGGTATAAAATATTACGAAGGGGCTAACTGGTTGTAACTCAGTGATAGAGTGCTTGACTAACGTGCAGAGGCGTGAGCACCATTTAAAAAAAAAAAAAAAAAGAAGAAGAAAGAAAACCAATGACTACCAGGCAGCTAAGGAGAGAGCACTCTGTGAACTATTAGCTATAATGCTGAGAAAATTAAATACGAAAAATATATGACTACAGCTATTTGACTACTGTGAATGTGACCCCCATGTCCCTTATGTTTATTTCCTTAGGAATTGAATGATATAGCTCTTACATTATGCAAAGTCTCGTGCAAAATTCAACTGCCCTAAGCCTGTTTTAGGGGACTTGCAAAACCCCATGTGTTTTAATCAGCCAGGTCTATCTCCAGGGTGAGCTCATGAAATCTTTTAAGTCAGACATATATTAGCGGAGCTATGGTCCCCAAGAAATGCAACTGCACTGATACCCCCCCGCTGCAGAGAAAGTCCATGCTGTGCTGCATGGATAATAACATCTGGGTTCATGGGCTCTGGTGGCCTGTTTCTCAGCTCCCCATTTTGTGACATTTCTAGTGGACTGGACCACCATGGGGCCATGTGATTCTCCTTATGTCATCAGACCTGAATTAGAAAGCTCTTCTCAGAGCTGGCTGTGGGCACCTGGGGCTCAGGCAGAGGAGTGGGGGCTGCCCCGTACCTACCTTTACAGCAGCATGCACAGGGATGGGGGCACTGAGGGGGCCAAGACCCTGCTTCCCAGTGTCTGGCTGATTGCTGGACTGTGAGGCGGAATCATTCTTGTCATTTTCTGAGCCAGAAGCAAGATCCTGAAATCGAAATTTTAGCATGATCAGGAYATAGGAATCAACGTCGGGTTACGGTCGAGTCCCTGACGGGTCACACTGCTGCTTTCATCCCAGGTTCTCATTCAAGTAAACGTCAGGTTACTCCCTCCGGGAGGATGACACCAAGTTTGTTGCCCAATGGAGGGTGCTTTCGAGAGAGAAAAGAGGCATCTTTAATAATGACCGCAAAAGACAGGTATAGGACTGGCCTTTCTATAGGTACAGGTATGGGACTGGCCTTTCTGTGACAATGTCTACCTGTTGGACTTAATAATGAGGTTGAAAAAGAAATGAAGAGAGCAGAGTAGGTGTAGGAATTTGGGGGGAAACATAGAACAACAAAGTGGAGAGAGAGGGTATTAGCAGTTGGAGGGAAAATGTGTGTGGGGGGGTGTGTATGTAGGGGGGTGTGAGCACATACAGGTTTGTGTGTGTGTAAGCAAGCATGAATGCATGCCTGCACATGTATATGTGCATGTACATACATTTATGAGCATGTGTAGGTGTGTCTGAGTGTGTATGTATGTGTATGGATGAATGTATGCATCTGTATTTGTGTGTGTCAGATATATACGTACGTGCATATACATGTGCACACATGAATTTATATATATATGTATGTGTGGATATAAGCATACGTGTGTATATGCACATGCTCATTTATATGTRTCTGTGTGTATGAGTAAGTGTAAGTACATGTCTGGGCATGTTTATGTGTGTATATGTGTGTGTATAAACACAGGCATGTGCATGTAAAGATGTATCAGGTATATGAGTGTATATATACATGTATGTCTCTGTATATTATATGTGTATATATGTGTATTTGAATGTGTGTCTCTGTGTCTATAATGCAGATGTGTGTGTTATCTGTGTGTGTGTGTGTGTGTGTGTGTGTGTGTATGATCATGCAAACCTTTACGAGAAGCATATTTCTGTCTGCTGAGGATTCCAAAAAAGGAATAATTATCTTCTCTTTCTCTCCCACATTCCTATGCTGTGACTCTGACACACAGGGGCAGGGGCTGCTGGTAATCTCCCGCTGGAGGGTCAGAAAAGAGCTTCTCAGTTCTTCTCTGAGCCCTGGTACCTATCCTAGGCCCATGAAATTCTTTTCTCTCAGCGCCTCTGTGTCCTCGTCTGTCAAACGTGGCTTCCGAGAAAAATGATATAAAATGATTTTTGCATTTTTCCGGGCATTGTCCAGGTCTTGTTCCCCTCTCCTAGTATTAAGCAGAAAAAAAAAACATGGCTTCTCCTCAAACCATTCTTAAATCAGAAGCTGAGGAATTTACTGTCAGAATAATACATACAAATGGTCTGATATACCGTTTGATGTTATCAAAGACGTCTGGCTGCAAAGACCAGCAGGGGAAGAAAAAAATGCTTTGATTATAAACTCTTACACAAGAAACGCACAAATATTTCAGATCTGCTTCTTATGCCTCCTTTTCCACTCCCAGTCCAGATTTGCTTCTTGGCTACTTTGTGTTTGCTCTGATAGAATGACAGTCACCAGTGACCAAGGAGGTTTAGGTAAACAGAGCCCTGGATATTGATTATTAATACTGTCATTGATATCTATATATGGTACTTTGCAGTGGGAAAAAATATTTCAAATACAGGTTGAACAGTTGTAATATAAAATTTCAAAATCTGAAAAGGCCAAGATGATGCTMTAAGTGGAAAATTCCATACCATGAAACTTTACAAACAGAATTGTTAGAGTTGGCATGTGGGGCCGGAAGCACTTCTGCACCTTGTGTCCACACTAGTATTTCTCCTTCATGAGGATGTGTGGAATCCCCACAGGTCTCCTTTTAGGAGCTCCATGAACACCCTCCTGCTGGGCTGAGGAAAACTCTCTGCAAGCCTGCATGTGGCTTCTAGAGGTGGATTCTCCAAGGGGTGGTGGCACTTGGCGGTGATTCTAGAGACCACGTGATTTCCCGCATCTCAGGGAGACTTAGCTCCTCCTCTGTGAGAACTGGCATAGATGTCACCCAATGGGAGGGAACTGGGATCTCAAATGAGATAACTTTTGTATAGAGTACAGTGCTGTTTCTGGCCCAGAGTATGCTTCAGGCTGATATTTATACTCATCATGGGAAATGGGCTTTCACATTGATAATGAATAAGGAATTATTTTCTTTTACAATTTTATAAATTGTAATCCTCATGATATAATCTTAGACTTCTGAAGTTGTTCATCTTACATATTTGTGACTTGGTACCCTTTGGCCAYTATACCCTCCCGTCTCACTGTTTGAATGATGAACATTTATAATGAGTGTTTTCAAAATACATCCTTTACTCTGAGGATCTGTGGATGTATCCAGAGAGAGACGTGAACACTGTGCTTGGGTCAGGACTGGAGACTGACTTTGAGGTGGCTGGTGGTTAGATACCTGTTCACATAGAAGCAGCAGGGACCTCCCTGCTTTGTGAACAGTTGGCACTTTCTTCTCACCCTTCTCGTTAGCCCTATAATGACTGTAAGAGAAGACTGCAAACTTTGAAATCAGTCTTGTTCTGGCACCAGGAGAGTGTCTGCCAATCACTTAACCTCACTCAAGCCTCAGTTATGGTGCCCATAAAAATGGAGATAAAAGGTATCTATCTACTCAACAAAGTAGATGATGCTCAGAAGTCATCCAGAGGGTATAGGGGTATAGTTCTAGAGAGTCTCTCCAGTGGTTTTTTTTTTTGGGGGGGGGGATCTTTTGTCACAGATACCTGGGCTGAAGAGAGTGAAAAGAGATAGTAACGTGTCACGTGATCGAGGAGAGAGAGCTCGACATCTTACAAATATGTGAGATGAACAACTTCCGAAGTCTAAGCAAAATCAGCAGCAAGCACAGTGGATTTTAAGACTATGAAGACATGATGAAATGGAGATCATTTTTATTTTTACCTGAATTGTTCCCAGAGGGCCTGCCAAAGGGGCTTCCGTAGCTTTAGCATCTGGTGGGGATCCTGCTGAGCTCTGGGGGTCTTCGCTTCGAGTCTGATCTGGAGAGAGCCCATCGCCGCTGCTGTCCTCTTCAAAGGCAAAGGCGTCTGCTGATTTGGAGAAACTCACCTGGTTTCCTGAGGGAGGGGAAACCCAAGATGTGAGTCAGAGGCTTAGGAGCATCCGAGGGCTGTTGTGGCAATGCTTCGATGTGTCATCCCTGCAAGAAGCACACACACACACACACCACACCTCTCCCCGGATTTATTTAAAGTTCTGGCAAGAGTGAAGATGTATTTTTAGATTATTAGGTTTCCTAAGTGAGGACTTGTGTTCATAAAAGTGATCTGTTTGGCAGGCAAGAACGAGTGATGGATTAAAGGCTTATCATCCGTTGTTAAATTTTATTTCCAATTTTATGCATTTCTTCACATTTCCTATGGGAAATAGAAAAATCTCCGTCCCAACCACCGAGATGGCTAACATCTTTTTGGAGCTGAATCAGGGAAGATACAGGAAGCAAAAGGGGAAGAGTGTATGCATCAAGACCAAAGGGGAAGGTGGTAGGACAATGACCTGTCATAGGTTTCACAGTGACAGCAGGAATTGAGATGACAGCATGCCATGTGCATCATCTTCAAATACAAAAACAGGGCACGCAGCACAAAATGTTTAGCAAACTTTGCTAATAAGGATAAGCGAGGCTCACTACTAAGTTTAAATTCCCCAATGTCAGAATTAGCTAATGTCACTGGAGTGTCCCAAAGAGCCATTCGACCAAAGCAAAATTGTTTACAAGAGCCATAAATATGTCTCAGAAACTTCAGTTCTGATTCTTATTTTTCTTTATTATTCAAATTTTCCTTTTATGCCTCATTATTTCTTTGTATCTATTTTGGCGATCCCACATGCAGACACTCTTCCTCAGTTCCCCGMGTGGTCTTTCTAGGGCAGCAGATAAGTTGTCGTGGGAGGTAGGTTATCAGACCAGATGGGCCCATAATGACATCCTTCGAATGTCCCTTCCATTTGGCGTGGCCAACTTTCCTCTGGTTTATTATCCAACTGCACAGTACACAGTGTGCTGAAGCCACATAGCTCTCCTGACCCGATTCCAAGCCACTGCTCTTCGAAAGGAATTTAGGTATTATCAGGAAGTTTTCCAGCCTCCTATAATCACACTCACAAGAACTTTTGACTCTTGCTCGGGGGAGATAAGAGAAGGGAGCTCTCACTGCAGTGATTGGAAAGGCAAGGAGAAGCTGGAAGTAATGGAACAAATGTGGCTTTGGGCTTGTCATCGCTGCCACTGCTGGCATCTGTCATGGACCCTGGTGTGGACATCCAGTGTCAAATCAGGAAAGAGGCCAGGCAAGGACAGGGCAAGTGGAAACGCCACTCACTGTCCCCATGGGTAGCATACTAACCTGAGGGGGCTTGTGCACCAGTGTTTCTGCTCCCTGAGTTGTTTTTAAAAAGTCGTCATTGCTGTGCTACCGTTATCAAAGTAATAATGTCCATCCTAAAACTTAACCCAGACAAAAATGCCTAATGGGTGCCATCTGCCTTCTGTTCATAATTGGTTCTCTCTTCTCGATTTAACTCGATGCATATGACAAGGTATATACCCACACATTTAAAAAATATTTCATGCAGGCGGGACTTGGTAAAATATTCTATTTCTGGACTGKGGAGGTAGCCCCGTGGCAGAGTGCTTGCCTGGCATGTATGGAAAGCTGGGGTCAAACAAAAAAAAAGATGTTCTGAAACTTCCTCCCCCTTCCACGCTCTACAGTGTTTCTTGGAGATCTTTCTATGTAAGAACATAGAGACCTTCCTCAATTTTTAAGAAATAGCTGCACAGTATTCCATTGTATTGATGGAAACTTTTAAATGTATCCTTGAGCTTTATTTAACTAGAAAAGATTGAAATAACAACAGTGCAGAGAAAGAGTAGGAAACTTCTCTTTACCTAAGATCTGAAATCCATGTTCACATTTTCCCCTAATTGGGTCAGGAACCTGTTTATATTCTAGCAGGGAGATTTCACTGGGTATTCAACCAATGCCACTTTTTCTTTGAGATCAGGGAGGTCTTTTCTTCCCCTTTACTCCTCTGGTCCTCTACATCCTCCTCTTAGCAAAATTTCGACTCTGCCAATAGCCTCTGTATGTCCTTTTCATGCAATATGAATGACTCTCTATGTTATTTTTCCTTTCTCAAGGAGATGTTTTGCCTGAGATCTCCTAAGGAAGGTCATTCCAGTTCTTCCAGGAGTATCTGCCCATTGTCAGCTCAATCCATACATTTCTTGGCAAACTATGCTTTCTTTCGAATTTAAGGCCCGATTTATTTGTGGAAGTAAAGGTTTTGTCCCAGTCAAAAAGGATCACACTTATTACTGAGGGCCAAGTAGGCAGGGGAGTCAGTGGAGAGGTATTAMGTGTTTCCCAATCCAGAAATCAGGGCCTTTCATGGAGATATACTTATATACCCTGAGCCAACACTATTCACAGTCAGAGAAGCCTGCACATGACCTTGTTAGCCCCTGAGGAAAGCCAGTCTTCTCTGCACCAGAGGAGTCTCTCTCTGAGRTCTGCATTTTCTTATATCTCCCTCTAAATGGAATGGGGTTTCTCTGTGTGGTCTGATGTTTCATGTGACAAAGGCTCCCACCCAGCTCCATACAGAGCATCATATTCCAAGTGAGTATAAATTAGGGGGAACAAACCAAATGACAAAGTTGTCCCATCTTCTAATAAGTGGGTAGAAGTGTTCAAAGAAAGGGAAAGAAAGAGAATGGTTCCTCCTCTTCTCTTCTGATGATCTCACTTTCAGGTGGAGAGAAAGCAAGTGGGAAAGATAGCAGGTCTTTCGGGGGGGCGGTGATGTACACCTGTAATTCCAGGGACTTGTGAGGCTGAGGCGGGAAGATGGCAAGTGGAGGCCAGCCTCAGCAACTTTGCAAGACTCTCAGCAATTTAGCGAGATCTTGTCTCAAAAAAAAAAAAAAATTAGAAGGTCTGAGGATGTAGCTCAGTGGTAGAGTGGCCCTGGATTCAATCCCTAGTAACAGGGGAAATAAAAAGAAAAAAGAAAAGAAAAGCAGGTGGTCTCAGGAAGGCCCTCCTAATGGTTCAAGAAGTCAGAGCAGGGGCATATTTTCTGTTTTTCAGATAAAGTCATTGCATGGCTCATTCCACTCAGCTATTAAGAGACTGAACGAAGACTGACGCTCCAGCCTTTGGACTCTCGGAGACACCCTGCAGAGGGGGTGGCAAAATCAATTCCCCTCCCTGCCAGCCATCAGGTGGGGCCATCTGTTGTTTAGGGAACACTGTCCACCTACTCTGTTGGTTGAGGGTCAGGGAGGGCAGGAGTTCACATAGAGAATGACCAACTTCTGCACACATCATGTACGGAGGACACCCCTCTAGTTCCACAAAATCTTGTAGTACAGGAATTCTTGAGATCTGAGGGACTGAATGTGACATTTGATGGTGAGAAACAAAGGAAGTCAGGAGATTCTGGGAAGGGAGATCAGGATGAGTTTTATTTTCACTGTGTCAGGAAAGAGTTGAAAGAATTGTGGAAGCCCTGTGGTTGGCCCTGGTATATCCACGTGGTTAAATAAGTTGCCAACAATCACGCAGTCACTGACACCCTTCCACTCTGACATCTGTCTGTGGGTGACCACAGATTGAGGCACTAGAATGATGTGCCAAAGTCTTGCGGTAGAGTAATTGGAATAAAGGAATCTGTGAAGTTGGCTCTGCATATCCACAGATCCTGCATCTGAGGCTTCAAATCAACTGCAGATTGAAAAAAAATATTCAGAAAAAAAAAGTTGTGTTTGTACTAAACACATAGACTTTTCTCCCCTCGTCGTTACTCCCTAAGCGAGACAGTACAATAACTTTTTATACAGCATTCACATGGAAGTAGGTATGATAAGTCATTTAGAGATGGTTTAAGGTAGAAGGRAGGATGCCAGATGCGCCAGTCTGCCTTTTTATCTAAGGGACCCTGGGAGGTCCTGGAACTAATTCTGTGCTGATACTGAGGGATGATTGCCATCAGTTCTATTTTCCCCAGGACKAAGGATGGGGGGAGGCTTCCTCAATTATTTCATTCATTTCCACACCTCACACTTTAAGAAAGAGTAGAGATAAGCTGAAACACAATCAGATAAGCTAAGGTGAAGGGAAGAGAAGGAAAGCCAGGAGACACAGGCTATCTGTGTATCTCCATGGGAAACAATCGGAGGATCTGTCAGGGACCAGATTTCCAGGGATGTGTTGGTGGTGGTTAGACAGAGTTAGATAGTGATAGGGACTGTCCACGGAGTCTCCTGGAGGAGGTGGGATGGAATGGAACCTGCAATGACAATCAGATGTGGCAAGACAACAGAAAAGGAGAAGTGGGGTGGGGGTGGCATTTGAGGATGATGGGGAGAAAGGAAAAGAAACTGTTAGAGTGTCCAGCAGGAGAGCTGGAGTGGAGAGGGTGAGGAAGAATTTTTTTTTTTCCCCAGCCAGGGGAGAGAATTATTTTACTTCATTCAACATTTAAAAAGGCTTCCTTGTTTAAGTCAAGGTGACCAGGAAAACATCAATCAAATGTAAGGTCGTTGTTTAAAGCCAAATGGGTGAGTTGTGTAAGCCCCAAACATGATGCTTATGTTATCTAAAAAGCATGATGTGCCAGGTCAGAGTATACCAACAGACACATTGAGGACCACTTACGGCTGTCCCACCACGAGGGCCCCTGCCAATCGCCACTCCTCCRGGACGACAAGTGATCTGGATTGCCACTGCCAGGGCAGAAGACAGGAAAAGGGCAGGGAGCCCAGAAAGCTACTCAGCTCAGTTCCTGTTGATAACCAGAATGGCAGGGGCAGAGAAGCCACTGAGTGCAAACAGCTGTGGCTTCCTTTCCTTCGATGTATGTGATTTTCAGTGTGATCTATAACATCTTGATTCTGGAATCAGAGGCACATGTCCTCCCCACCCCTGAGTTCTACCACATTTAGTGGGAGTAACTGTYGGCAACTCATTKAACCTTTCTGAGCCTCAGTTTCCCCTATCTCTAAAACGGGAACAATCATAATAGCTACTCCCTCCCGGGGTTTCAAGGA